GTGTGTGTGTGTGTGTGTGTGTGTGTGTGTGTGTGTGTGTGTGTGTGTGCAGCGTGTGTATTAGACGTTTATATAAAGTATTAATATAATTTCCAAGTCAAAATTCTATAATACAAAAATGTTAAAGAAAAAATAGTGTTTTATGTAAAAATTAATTTACCATCTTAGGTTCATGGAGGGTTCTGACCTCCAACCCCCCCCCCATGGATACGCCACTGAATAAGAAACATCTTAAAATATAATAGGAGTGTATTTCCGTATTAAATTTAGATCACTGGTAAACAAAAATACAATTGCGACGATGTAGCAATTGTACGATGTACAATATACGATGTATATTGAGTTTGAAGTATTCCACTAATAATTATTTTTTTTTTTTTTTACACTTTACAAAATTACTAATGTTGACAGTATTATTGAAGCTACAGTCAATGATGTACGAACATGTCATCGGTTGATGTATTTCCTAACCCTAAGAAAAACAACCACTGTGTTAATTTACCTAGAGTCGTAGTTTCTCTATGTGCTTCAATACATTAAAGAAAAAGAAAATGGAAGCTAATCTAATTTTATACGAGACTTTCAGATGGTTACGCTCTAAAGAACATAATATACAATAGAATTTTCTAACGATTTTGTTTCAATTTTAAGCACATCGGTTATTTCTTTTATTCGGTAAAAGTTATGGACTTTCCATGTGCATCTATTGTTTTAAAATGTATTTAATATTTTTAAGTATGCATTTCAGAACAGTACGTACATTGTTAATTAACAGTACCGTGGTATTATATGTAAACATTTACTTCATAGTTACATTTGATATATAAATGTATATATTTAGTATAACATAAAAATATATTACTTGAACAAATAACAGTGATTTACTTTTATATTCAATGGATTAATTGTTTATTGTTGATTTTTATACATTTATTAGTGACATTTGTAACGATTGACTTTAAATTTATTATTGTACAATAATCCTGTATTTTTATATCTACTTGGCATCAAATTTGTTAGGATATGAATACATAATATTTGTGATAATTATTATTTAAAGATCTATAAAAACGTAAACGGAATATGAAAGAACAATTTAAAGAATTTAAAATAAATATCTAAAATTAAGTGCGATTCAAGGAAACTAAGTGCTTATTTATCATCATACATGTGAAACGTGATCTAGATATACCATATAAGAATTCAAAGAAAAAATGATTTTCGTGCAGCTTAATAAAAAAAAAAAACTATTGTTCCTTTAGTATTATAGCCGGCTCAATAGTTTTAATTATTCTCATTTCTATTTTTATATTATTATTATCTTAAAAATGACTGTCTTTACATGTATGTAATATGAACAATTGTAATAAGATAGTTATTTCAATACTTTAAAATTATACAAAATACATTTATATTTAACACTGTACCTGTAAATGATTACTGCCGCTGACAAAACTCCGAGAATCATAAACCAAAACCATAGGAAAACATATATCTTTTCGTTGACTGCGTTCAGTGGTAATATGCATATCGAATCGTGAGTCTCCACTTCGCCGGATACTCCGAATTTATGGAAAATGCATTTGGTCATCCTGGGGAATATAAAAATCATTGGGTCCACCCGATCTTCTTGGTCGCTCTCTAGAAACCGAATCACATCTATGCCGAATGTCAGAAATGCGCCGTCGAAGAAACGGTTCATCATGAACATTTGACCTGTCGTCATTAGAAAAAAAAACAACACAAAAATGTTTAACAATTTTCGGGGTTAAATCAAAAATTATTCAATAACGGTTTAACAATAAATAGTAATCGGTTTCATCACGCTGAAAAAACGTATAGTGAAGAAAAAGAAAATTTATATTTTATGATATTGTGTAACCTTAATAATATTCGAGCATGAGTTGAGTGTACTTGTATACTAGAGGTTTATATTTCACATGTACAAGTTTTCATGTATTTCCGTGAAATTAACATTCGAAATTATAAAAACGTGTACTTGAAAACTCTGTATACAAGTGTATTATTTACGTACATACGTAAAGTCACACATATGTATTTAAGTCTTAATATTTTCTTTAAATTCATTATATTGTTAAACTGAGAAGTTAACATTTTTCATTAATAACAAAGTTTTTTTTTAATTTACCACGTTATATTCGCACTGTAGTACTACATAATACATAATACTTAAACAATATTGATGAATACGTGAATATACTAAAATACATTAACACATATATTAAATTCACGTGTATTAAATACATTTTATACTAATTGAAGCCCGGGTACAAACAGTACTAATTGAATCCGAGGATTATTTTGAGTAAAATATAAAATCAACCGTCCAAATGCAGCGAAAATTATGCCACACAGCATTAAAATATATGTTATTATCACACTTATGCCTTATTAATGTGGGTCTCATTTACATATTCATTGGTGAGGACCACCAATAGTTGTGAATCCTTCATTCGAAAATCAATGCTATGTTTTATCCAGCCCATTCAAACATTTACCAATTTATTAACATTTTGTTAAATGTGCCATGCGAAACATGTATAAAAATTAAAAGTGTTTATGTTATTAATACAAAAAGTTATATGTATGTAAAAGAAAAAGAAATCGGAGATCAAATGCAGCTGTTGCAATCAAACATAATAACTAGATTTGAATATACACAATATTTACCCCATACATTTTTCTCAATACAAAAATATTTATATTTTATCATTACATGTATTTATTGAATTATATATTATTATATATACATTATTAGATTATCAAATATTAAAAAAAAAAAAAAAAATTACTGGACTCACTTAGTATTAAAATATGGACTCAGTTAATATTATACCAAAAATTGCATGAGATTGCACTTCGTCAAAAATAGTTATATTGGGTATGCAGTCATTAAATATACGTAATTACAAATTTATCATTTACGTGTTCATGTACACAAGGCCGTATCTTGAAATTTTTTTCTTGAGGGGTCCAAAACATGTATATTGTTATTTTGTTGAATTTACAATTTAGCTTTTGATATTTGGTTAAAAAAAAAAGACAGAAAAAAATTTAATTTTCTTTTATTAAAATTAATATCATATTTTCATATGATATTATAGTATAAAACTAAAAGCAGTCGATGATTAATTGGAGCTTAAGTCATTTTTTACTGAAAATATTTATTTTGGTATTAAAAATAAATAATTATTTTAAACATTCGTAAAATATTGAAAAAATTTCGGTGGATGGGGCCTTGCATGTACATATTAGTTCAAGTTTTCAATTGAGACCTCTGTGTATACAATGTTTAAGAGTTATAGATAATATTAATATATATAATGAATTGGTATTACAAAATAATTAAACATATTTTATAATTTGAACAAGATAATTAATTTAAATATCCAAATAGGTTGTACGACATTTTTATTACATTTTAAATGCAATTATTCTTATTTCATAATATAAATAAAAATTATTAAATAATTAATAAATAATTAATAATAAATAATTTAATAATTATTATATTATTATTATATTTTTGAAATTATTTAGAGTCTACATGATTTAAATTTTGTTTCGAATGATTTTAGTAAAAAAAACAAATTATTTTGGTTATTCGAATAGCTCTAAATATTCTTTTTAAGGAAAATATTTGTAGTTTTTAAGTTAATTATCTTGGAATTTCGTAAAAAAAAAATCGCTAAATGGTACTAATTCAAAGTCGAATTTATGCACGGCCAAATTATAAAAAAAATTATTTGCCTGTTATCAAGTCTTATCTATATTATTTAAAAATGAATAGTGAAGTGCAATGTTTAAAACTTTTTAAATAAAAAAGTATATTAGTAGTAAACATACTTGTAATAACTCTTTGAATTTATAAACTTTCATGTTTAACAATTCTAATTATTTGGATAACCTTAGTTATCCGATGTAACGTTATTTATTTAGTTTCTTTGTCCAGTTAGGTAATAACTAATAACTAATTATATCGAATGTACCGTTCAATTAATCAGTTTACCATCACAGTAATGTAAATAGAAAGCTAAATAGTTAATTAAGTCCGTTGGTTATAATTTTATAAAAATATTTAAAAAAATAATTTTCCATCAAATTATTATAAGATGTTTTATAATAATATCTGATTACCTATAAAGATTATAACAGACCTATTTTAACAATATACAAGTATGATATATATTAATATTTTAAATCAAACATAAAAAAATGGTAGCAATTGTTTTTAAAATCAAAAAATTAGAATCATATTTCAAAATTCTTGGTTACATAACCATCAAACAATGTTTGATATTACAAAGACTTCTTATTCTAATAGTATATCTACTATTATATTTGTAATATTCGATATTATACACTGTAGTACACTGCAAGTAAAATATTAGTAGAGAGTTATAACCTTACTTATGTACTAAAACTAAATAAAAATAATAATAACTGAAAAATTATACTATAGTTTAATAATTTAAAAATATATTCTAAACGATGGCGATAATTCGAGATTTTGGAGACCTAGAATTTATATATATGTGATACGAATACGTCAATCCGGATTACCGACTGTCAAATTTGGACAAATAAAAAATAATAATAGTAGATTGTTTTTGAAACGAGCGTCTAGAGACAGTGCCTCTTATCTGCACTATTATTATCAATATTACACTATCACTACAGTTGCCTTATCACATAATCGGTTGATTACATTTAAATATTATATTTAAACAAACAGCCATAGTATTATATTATTTAATAATATATTAATTATTTAGTATAATTAATTTATTTAGTACAAATTACAATGTCATCAAGTGAAGAATTAGAAATGTTATATATGTCTTTTCTTGTTGTAATATTTTTTTTTAAATATTATAATCAGTTTCATTTCGTAACTGATCAATTATTACATTTGGCAGGATTCCACTTTCAATTTTACCTATAATTATAATAATAAGTACATATTATATAGGTATAATTTCAAAATATAATTTAGTACTTTAGTTTCTTAAGTAATTTAATATAATACTTACAAGATTCACTCTACAGTACATTTTAATTAAATATAGATATCTTACACAGTTTAGTTTTGTAGTCATGTGAAAAATACTTTTATTTTGTATTCAAATACTATTAGATTATTAAAATATAATATTTTTTGCCCCGCTAATATTTGTCAGTTTTGGATTGGGCGGTAATAATTATATGAGAGAATACGTATTCAAATAATTTACAAATACTTTACAAACAAGACTGGTTTTACATATTATTATGAATTTTTCAAATCATTACCTTGAAGAGAACAACATTTTAAATTTATTACTTCTAATTCTTCACTTGATGACATTGTAGTTTGTACTATATAAATTAATAATACTAAATAATTAATATATTACAATTAATATAATTATTAAATAATATAGTATTATGGCTTTTTGTTTAAATATAATATTTAAATGTAATCAACCGATTATGTGATAAGGCAACTGTAGTGATAGAGTAATACTGATAATAATAGTGCAGATAAGAGGCGCTGTCTCTAGACGCTCGTGTTTTTGAAACGTGACAATCATTGTCATACGCAACGTGGAATCTTTATTCACACATGAAAGGACACCTAACGAAAACGGTAATGATTCTACAATGGAAATTTTTGAACATCCTGTCATGGAAGAATGCCTATCAACATGCAATTGGTTGTTTTAAATATGCAAACAGGATGCTTTAAAAAAATACAGTGGACGCTATTTATAGGATATATCACATTATAGAACACTTTTAAGTGAGTCTTATAATCGAATAAATCTTATAGATGAAAAAAAAATAGAAATAGAAAAAAAACAAAAATTTATTAACTATTTTTCTCTTTTACTTTTACTACAGATTAGATATTATATAATACATATTATTAATTAAATACATTAAAAACATTTATGTTATTAGAATTAAATTGTGATTTTAGTTTTGTTTTTTTATTATTTTCAACTTTTTTAGATATACTACTCGTACTTGTATTGTATATAAAATGAAAACCTCGGTGATGAACAGCACTTTTGACTAAAGCACTAACAGCACTAACCTTACAGAATCTCTAGAATGTATTTGTTTAATGGTAGTTCAATTACGACGTTAACATTTTTGTCGCTTTCGTTATTCTCAAATATGATATAATTTGTACATATAAGGTTTGAAGTATGATTAGAAGCCAGTGATAAGTTATAATCAACACAAAAGTTTATTATACGACCAAATTATTTAAGTGATCATATAAGTAAATTTTTTTTTAACGTATTTGGATATGTCTGGAACATTTCAGGTGATTTTGAGGCCAATAAGTGGTTGAACCTTACATCTGTGGGTCTTATAAGCGGCGATTACTATTTTTGTATTAACAATTGCTCTTTTTTAATCGAAAAAATTATGTGCGCACAATTTAATTTTAAACCATTAATAATTTACTGCCATTAAACAGAAATTTTGATGTACATAGGTATTACAATAATAACGGATATTTTTGAACCAAGCATTCTGCAATGTTTAGCACCCGATTTTCATTATTCACCACAGTAAGGAAGTGGCTAAATGGGAAAACATGCACAGGATAGGTAATTTCTACAATATAATTATCATTGCAGAAGTGTCGTCAAATATCTTAAGTCCATTATTTTATAGGCTTTTTTCATACTAAGATGCATAATAGATGCAAAAATAACCGTCAAACAGACATTCTATAGCAGCAGAAGGAAGTGGAAGACAGAAGTGGAATTCACTACTATGCAGATGAGAACTCAGGTAACGATTGTCTGCAAATTCCGATGATTAAGAAAATGAGTTTTCTGACATAATTTCATGTTATTACAACACTTTTGAGCGAAAAAAAAAATAGAAAACTAATTGACCGCTAATTTTCGCTTTTGACATAATAATAATACATTAAAATCGGTTTCCAACTAGTTGCAATATGCACACCAGTGCACTAGTATTTTTAAATACGTAACCAAAGAGTAAAGTGGTAATTCTTAAAAATTTCGGTTGTTACGACCGAATTTGTCTGAACAAAATTTCGTTTTCACGCCCTTTTCCCCTTCCCAACATAGGAATTATCGAAAGAAAATAACTTTCTGTGTATAGTTTTAACATAAAAATTGAGAAAAAAATAATATATAATAATAAAATATATGTTCGTTTCATCAGCCCGTTCCACTTGTAGGCACTTAATGCCTACATTAATTTTTAACCACACAAAAATCAGAATTATACTCAAAGACTTGAAAAATGTTTGATAACTATAAATTATTTTTATTCATAACTATATAAAATAAAATAAATTAATAATTTAAAAAAAAAATGATTTTTTAAATAACTATAAAAAAATTTCATCTGCAATAATTACAGTTTATATCTGTTGTAATAACGATGTGAAAATATAAATATCATATTTCTTTTTTTGAAATAAATATACTTCAATGTAGGTTGATTTTAAGAAATGTCTACAAAAATTGTAATAAATGTATAATACAATATCTATACTGGGGCGTATGTAAGCTCCGCCACAAGTACCTTTTTTTACTGTAAACTTCGCCAGCGAAGAAAATCGAGTAGTAATATAAAATTAATATGATATATTATTAAAAGTAATAAGTAATAATAAGTGAATATTATTATTATAATATTATATAATATCATATCTCCATTTTATTTCATCAGACGTATATTTTATATTTTGGTTAACATTTGTAATTGGTTAATAAAACCAATAAATTGCCTCGTTGACCAGTAATTAATTTTATATTTTTTACTTTGTTGCGATATATTTCATTCAATATAATATATATATGGAGACACGCAAACTACGAATGATTATATCCATCAAAGTATACCTTACCTACTGCCGATATCATCATTGGAAATACTGATTTCAGATCATATGGAAATAACATTATTAATAAATGAATCAATGTGGGTATATATATTCACCTTGAAATGAATCGACCTAACCATGACAATAATTTTATCAATTTCGACAAACATCATCGTAATAGATGTCAACGTATTTAATCTGAAAAGGCACGTGGCAATGTGAGCACTGAACGGGTAAACAAAAAAACTGGCGGAGTTTACATATACCCATTACAGGTAAGAAAAAAAAACTGGCATAGTTTACCCTAGACCTTTTATTACCTTTTTATCTTAACCGATATTCTGGCGGAGTTTACAATTTCAATGATTCATCCGTTTATTTTTAGTTTTTAATTAGATAATTCACGCATAACTTGAAAAATTTCACTTGGAATTTTAATCAAAGTCTCATTCGTTAGCGATAAATTATGAAAAAAATTATAATATCGTACGTGCACGTTTCATGTCAATCGGACATAGTTCGATAGTGGGTCGTGAACATTTATAGATCTGTCATAGCATGTTTGCCCACGCTATCAACCGGTTCGCATATATCATATAGCAGCCCACCAGAACCACTTACCCACAACGTTCAATAGCGCCATCATTTCGCATAGGTAGTATCTGTATGTCCACCAGTTGTGGTATCGCAGATTCTCCCACAAGTAGTCTAGCAGAATTTTTTTTTTCTGCTTCTTCTCGGCATCTGTACAGATGGCTACATCTAGGTCCATCATAAGCGCCCTGATTTTTCCACCTTCCCAGTGCTTCCACAGCCATCTGGGCGTGTAGAATAGTATTGCCTATAAAAAATAATAAAATTATTATAAACAGATCACACGGCGGTCAAATTTATATTACTGGTGTTTATATATATATATATATATATATATATATATATAATATGGCATTATATAATGAAAAAAATGTAAAGAAATATTGTTTGTCCTTTAATATAATATATTAGAAATCAATAGATTTTCCGATTATTATTATGAAAATATGATGAACGTATAATTATTATAAAAAAAAAATAATTCTTTCGAAGGATAAAATTTTTCAAATAATGTCTGTTAGAAAATACATCCTAATAATATAATCATAAAATATTAATGTATTATTATATAGCCCTTAAATCTACTTCTATAATATATTTATATATTTACGCTATATGCATTTAAAATATGATCTAAAATAATTCCACTAGATCTCACAAAGAAAACATAATATATCCTAGCATTAATGCGAATTGTTTCAATAATTTTAACTCTGGATTACAACATTAGATAACAACTAATTTTACAAGTAAATCAAAGTTATATTATCATTATCATAATAGCTTGTAAATATCTACCTTTCGATCGTTATTTTAAACCCATTACATCGTAATAATTATTATCATCATAAATTATGATTACAATTAATACGTATATTAAACGATATAATGTATCATATGTTGTACTATTAAAATTACTCGTCACAATTTTAACTAAACATACCGTTTTTATATGTTAAGATTAATATAGATATTTTAAACAAAATCTCGTTTATTATTATTGAATATTGTGTTACTAACGACTCAATGGACTTACATTTGGTATTTATCCTTGTAGTATGCGTGTAAGTCGGTAAAAATTCCAAATCCGAACATAGTTCAAAACTTATGTTTTACCAATATTACCAGTCCACCGCAACAAAAGTTATTAGTTATATCACTTATTACGAGTAACAACATAGGTGGATATCAAAGGAGCTTGGGGGGCTTAGACCCCCCAAATATTTTAATAGCCCCCCCAAAATCGAAACTTTGTTAAAAATTGTATTCGTTGTTTTTATAATTTATTTATAATTATCTGTTAATTTTTTTTGAAAATCGTATAATAAGAAATAATAAATTATTTACAATAGCATTAACAATACCAATTACATAGTTTGGCTACTTGCGAAAGAAGTTTCAGTGCAAAGAAAAAATAAAAACTTGGTTTAGGATATTGTTGGTTCAAGATAGGTTCAGCAATCTTTCAATACTATATATTGAAAAAGATATATCGAAAAATATAAAAAGCGATGATATTTTGAGTATCTTTGTTAATACAAATAGTTATTTGTCATTAAAATAAAATATTAATTATTTTTAAATATACGTTATTTATTGTTTTTTTAGTACAATTTAAACATATCTATATTTTTAATAGTAATAAGTTTTACTTATGTATGAGAAGGGGGTGTGAGAGCGAAGCCCTGCGGGTTATTTTACATTGAATTATTATAGCTCCCCCAAAAATTCAACCAAATGTCTGCCTATGAATAACAATACTATGAAAAACAATGAATATAATAATACTGCAGTAAGTAAATGGAGAACGTTGCAACGCTCATAGCCTCGTATGATGGAAGCAATCAATCATTTTGCAGACCGAACAAATTGGCCAACATCCCATACCTCGTCTCTTCACAAACATCGTTTTTATTGGCCAGTATATTAAAAATAATTAGAAATAATTTTATATTTTCTTTGGCACTATTGTCGTAGTCTTGGCATCGGTTCAGGTACATTGTGACAATCTTGTGCCATCATAGCCGCTACCACCGTCGAAAAAGGATAGAAAGCTATAGAGAAAAAAAAATCACTTTTCATTTTGTTTATTTTTTTGTTCATTTGTTTGGTTTGTTTTTCCTTTATTTTTTTCCGACCGTTGAGTGACTTGATCTACTCTTGGCTCCTTCTACGGGGAAAACAAGTCGAAGAACTGGAATCGAGTACGTAAGGGAATTATTTTGACGGAATGACGAGCTAAACTGACAGCCATCTGTCGACGGTCAAACGAGAATATTAGCCGAGTGCCGTCATTGTCGTTGAGTAAAATTTCTTAATTATTACATCCACGACGGTCAAACAACGCCCAATTGAATTAATTTTAATATAACTGTGGCAAAAGAGCTCGTCGCGTTACTGTTAGGTAGTTATTATTGGTTTTCTCTGTATATGTGTACTATTATTATTATTTTTATTATTATTATTATTATTATTATTTTTTTTTTCGTAACTCCGAGAAAAATGAAGCGAATACAGTTCAGTTACTCAAAACTATAATTTTGTTCAACATTAAGATCGTACCATGAACACTATACCATTAGGTATACAATATTATATATATATATATATATATATATATATACACTATTATCTCAGAAACCATGATGACCTTAATACCCCAACACTTTTTTTAGGTTAATCTCCATAAATAAAAATATACAAAACGATTCTAGTGATCTAACAAAGGAGATATAATATGTCTTGGTAAAGAATATTATCAATGACGTGTATTGTCACATGATAAATTGATGATAAAATATTAAGTATAGTCCCGTACGTATGTAAAGAACATAGTATATTGTTTACCTCGAAGACATTTCCATTATATAATAACATACTTGACAGCCCGGTTGAAAATAAAAATTAAAGTACGTGTTAAAACTCTATAAATAAATTTTTAAGCAGAGAAATAAATCTAAAGACGTAAAAAATATCATAAAACTGATAATATATATATATGTATGATTGCATGTAAGTGTGTGTGTGTGTGTGTATTTATAATTATAACGGTTATCCTTATTGTTTCATCGTGACATTTCTACGCACCCATTATTTGAATATGAAAATAATTTAAATAATAATTAATTTGCAACATTAATCATATATTCGAAACTGTTGTTTTATTATACACTTGTTTTGAAAAATTTCATGATAAAATAACAATACTAGATCAAAATATTTTGAATAAATTTCGGTTGCTCAAACATTATTAAGTCCGAGTCCTTTGAACTGATTTGATATTCGATTGGCATAACTATTGGTTTAAATATTATTTTTTATGACATCGGAAACAAAATATTAAACTTACTGTTATATATATATATATATATGTGTGTTACCGGAAAAGAAGACAATCAGTCCGTGTTGACAATGACTAGGTAATAACGATAATGCCTGATTTAGTAAGGAATTAATGTCAATACCTAATCATTGATAACAATTCCTAATAAAAGAAGGCATTGATAATAACATTAAAAATTAATTTAATATATTTTAATACTTATTAGCTATTTAGGATAAATCATAATCTTAATCTTTATTGTTACGTGGTAAATTACTATGACACTTGGAATTATATAATCTAGTACAGCGGTACCCAAACTGTGCTCCACGAAGCCTTTGGTGCTCCGCAATGGTTTGCCTAGGACTCCGTTCGTAACACCATAAAAAATTTAAAAAAATTTTCGTCATTTAAAATTAATATATATTTCATGAAAACTTGAATGTTCCATAATCAAATCGATCACCGATAAAGTGGTGTTGATATTTGTTTGAATACGGATTAATAACATTGCTTAATATAATACGGAAATTTTGATAAAACTACGAAATATTCAATATTGCCTAACCTTTCCAGTCATTGTCAACAATGACTAGGATATACTGACAATTTCTGAATTTTCATCTTTTCCGGTAACATATATATAAATGATTATAATAGTATGTAATATACCTTACAAATGAAAATTCGCCAAGAACGATTCGTATATGCATATCTTAAACAAACCACCACAGGTAGGCTTCGTCGTCTATCTTATTACGAGGGGAGTGTAAAATGTCTTAATAATATCTTTGACGTTTACGCAGGACGATTACTGCAACTTGAGTGAGAATTTGCTAGTGCGTAAACTTAAATGTTCCAACGAGTAACCCAATAATGTATATATATATGGGCCAAAATGTAAACAGAGAGAAAAATAAATAAAGCATAGCTCATACAAATAAAAAAACAGATTCGATTGTCTATAGAGATTCCGAAATAGATTTTTTATTTAATCTTATAAAAGTTTCTTTATTTTACATTTTCTATAATTTCCAGTAATATCTCAACAGAAATTATAATTGGAAAATTGTATTCATTGATTTTTTTTTCACTGAAAACTTAGGATATTTTTTGGAAATGAAATCCGATCTGCACATTCAAAAACTGCTATTAAATATCTACAAAAATTGAAACCCCTAAATAGGTTTTTTTCATAGCTCCACCTTATGCGAAAAAAACTCATGCAAGTTACATAAACCTTAAACTATAATTTCAATAATATTGTAACAAAATCGTTTTCAAATATTATGCTTTTCTAATTAACCAACATTTTAATATTAACGATAATGAATTTCTACCTGTCGAAGTGGATAAAAATATTTAACGATCTTTATATCAATACAAAAAACATTCATAGAATTTAATCTCTAGTTGTTATAATAATAATAATAATAATAATAATATTAATACTAATAATATATAAACTACATGTTTTTTGTACTTTTCACCTGTTAATTAACTATGTATTATTTATAGTTTGCCCGACTGACACAGATATTTAGAAAATGGAACACTACTAAAAAGTATTAAAATAATATATTCGGTACTACACCGGATGTTGGATTTTAATTACTAGTTCATTTTCAAACCTATTTCACTACATAAAAGTCGTCATACATACGCACTAATTGTAAAACATTTTGTATATTCTTACATTAACACTAGAATCAACAGAGATAACCACTGCCGTTCATTATAAATATAATTGCAACTGACGTTACAATGCTATAATAATAACTATTGTATTTTCAAACTACAACTAGAAAAATATCGCGGGAATGCAAATAGGATGCAATATAATAATATAATAACTACGAGATCGAGTCCGCAGTGAACCCGCCGGAGAAAATTATGAGTCCATTAAAACTCCTCCCAATAGATAC